TCCCAGAGAATCTTTGGCTATGGGCAGTATAGAAAGAAAATTTTTAAAAAAAATTGTATATACCCATTCACTCAACCATTTTGGCTGTTTGAGCGATTTATGCTCAATAATCTCCAAACATAATACAATATATTAAAACGGGTTAACAATCAATAAAACCACCCGCATCCCTGTCTTCAGAGGGTCTCAAAACTTTGTTCCAAGAGATTCTGTGTGCACACCATTTTCATGAATGCAGATAGTCACATGATGCCTCAGATAGACACTTAGGGATCAGGAAGTTAAGGAATGAAATGGAAGCTGTCTCACAGGGAGGCTCATAACAACTGGGCTAATTCATTTCAGTCACTAGCTCTGGCTTGTGACAGCGGATCAGAGAGCACAGGATCATTCATTCATTCACTTAACAAAGGAGAGGTTGAACTAGGTGCTGAGCCACCCAGGGTACAATTCTGTGCATGTTTAGAGAGAAAGACTGGGTTTAGAGAACTCAAAAGGCCATGGTGGATTTTTACCATTGTTGGTCCATCATCTTGTCCGAACCTAGTTGTGGTATTTCACCATGGTAAGTTTGGCCTGTAGAAACCATGATAGGAAACAACGGTTTGTTCTATGGTTCCTCCGTGTGGTTGTGAGCCACAGTCCTTCTTCTGAGTAAGCACACTACTCCAGAGTTTCTTTGCAAGTACCACTGAGTCCTCTGGAAAGAGTGACAACTGCAGAAGTTGCTCCAGCTATCCGGTCTCCGTGTGTGGAAGGTGAGGAAGAGACAGATGGAGTAGGCAGGGAGTGATCCACCAAGGGAACGAAATATTAGAAATAAGGAGCTTGCCTCTGTTAAATTGACAGTCTTAGACTTGAGCCAATTTTTGTCAGAAGGCTGTAAGTAAGGAAATTTCTCTTCCCCCAGTAAGAGGGTACGTATGAAGTCTGGTCCAATTCTATGGCTTGCAATGGGCAGCGGGGCCAGGATCGTGTGGCCTTTTCTGGGGTAGCGGGATGCTCTCAGAGCTTGCTCAGTGCTGTGCTGGAGCAGAAGCGTGGGCAGCTGATCGCATGTCAGGCAGATTCCCTTACAGATACCCAAGTTAGGAGATCCCATTACATTCCTAGGCAGACATTGCCATTGTTCTAGTTACATTCTTCTGATGTTTTGTAAAATGCAAATCTTTTGAAGCCAGTTCATGCAATTATTTTCTCCTCCTCTAGTTCTCCTGCAATTTTATAACCCAAAGTCGTAGTTTTTGAAGTTCTGCAAAGAAGGAAGTATTCAGTAGCTCTTTTGTAACTATTGTTTTTCTTCATTATTTCAGATTCAGGAATATCCTATTGATCCTAATGCCAACAAGCTTCCCTTCTTGCGTAATCCAGATATTTTGGTTGGAGAAAATGACCTAACAGCTTTAAGTTACCTCCATGAACCCGCAGTCTTGCACAACCTAAAAGTCCGATTCTTGGAATCAAACAACATCTATACATACTGTGGTGAGTTTTTCAATATGTTATTCCTTGCACTATGTGTATATTTTGTATCAGAGGATGGCAGAAATGTGCAATTTGAGAAGAGATATGGTGGCTGTGTTTGCACAAAACGATACACCAGGATTCCTGGTTTTTTCAATCACAGTGCACTACAGCCTAGTTCATCCTAACCCATTTACCTCATCTGCCCTCTTCCCATTTGTTTGAGTTTAATATTTCATCTGAATGCAGGATTATGATGTATTTCACTTGAAGAAGCCAGGATTCATAAGTCATCTTTAAGCTAGAATTAAATGTTGGCTTGTTTAGGTACAATAAACCACAATCCCAAATTCAGATATAATCCTAAACTATCTGTACTTGTTTTGTTTCTCTGCTTGTGTTAGTACCAGGTGGGGAGGAAGCAAAGTGGGAACACATTCTGTGTGTTACGGTTTAAGGAGGCAGGATTCCTGGCTTATAGTGCTACATGTTAATACAGCTAGAGTCTATCAGCAGTCCCTGTTTTTTAAAAATACTGGAAACAAAGTTTATTTTATTTTATTTATTTTATTAAAACATTACATTACAAGTTATGTAAGTGTTTATTACTCTGATCTTTGTTTTTTTTTCCCTTGTACTTTGGAACCATCCAGCATGTCTCAGATTTTCTCAGAATTAGTATAAAATAATGTAGGTATACAAAGCTCAGAAAACATCAATTGCATTTGTATCTAACCAAGGCAAAACTGTTATTATACTAATAACACTCAGATGCCAATTTATGGTGGCAACAAATGGAACTACTCAAGATACAACTGGACAGATGCTTGGTGTCCTGCCCTGAACAGAGGGTTGGACCTGGTGGCCTTCTGGTCCCTTCCAACTCTACTGTTCTATGATTCTGTGATTCTCTACTTAGAAAGCAGTGGGGAGAGATCAGCGTACTGGAGAAATGCCAAGGTTTGCAGACATAGAGAAAATATTTAGAAGAAAGACCATAGGGGGCAATCACACCTACCCTAGGCTCACCCCAAAACAGCCCAGTGAGGACGGAGCATAGCAAACATCTGTTGTGGGAGGAGACAGAACATCTGGAGAGGAAGAATGGATCCCTAAATAATAGCACTTTACATGCCAAAATATTGTTGCAAGTCCCGTTCTCAAAATAGTTGTTATTGAGCTGGGGAAATTTAAGTGCATAAATACATCCACATATGCTGAACGCAAATGAATGCAATTGCGCTAAGCTAGGTTTCTAGCCATCTAACTTGTCTGGGTGCTAAAGATACAGCACATGTCTTAGCTAATTGTGCAAGAGCGGTTTGGAAAGCATAGCGTGGATGCACCTGTTTATGGACAATCCCATTGTTTAAAGGTCAACAGTACAGGGTTAAAGAAGCAGCAAGCATATCTGATAACTGACCACAGAACTACAGAAATTCATGTACATGATAGCACAGACAGAGAAGCAGAAAATGCGCATCTGTCTTGGCAGGATATAAATTATCTCAGTGCTTCAAGGGAATATCTCTGATTATGCACTGTGTTACTTTGATTTTGTAATTATTTTAGTGGCTTTTGTTTTGCAAGTCACCTTGTGGAATTTTAAAGACCAAAAGTGGGTATAAATGCTTTAAATAGCTCTCCATTTCATGAAGAGCTATTTGTTCTGAGTATGACCCTGTTTCTTGTCATGGCGCAAGAGGGAAATGCATTTATCTATTGCATGTTGTTGTTGTTATATATTTTCAAATCTTCTATTTATGGTGACCCTGTGAATGAAAGCCTTCTAGAATATCCTATCCATGACAGCCCTGCTCAGCTTTTGCAAATTCCAGACTGTGGCTTCCTTTAGGGAGTCCATTCATCTCGTATCATCTCCTGCCTTCGACTTTCCCTAGCATGATTGTCTTCTCTAATGAATCTATTGCATAGATTCTTAAATTTTGATCTGGGAACAATCAGTACTCCTTGATATGCTCAGGAGAACAGACTAAAAATAATGGAGGAGGATCCTAAAAGGTGAGAGCATCGAAAACCAAGTCTGCTACATGCTGAAGAGGCAATCCAGTTCGCTTCAGATTGCATTTTAACATTTCAACTAAAAAGCAGTTTGCAGTTCAAGTGGTCACAGTGGAAATTCCTTCCTGGGATGCACATGCCCATTTGTTGGATAGCAACTGTAATATTGGGATTTTAATTGGGAAGCCTTTTGGGCACCTTCTTATGTGGGTGGGGTTCATATGCAAAGCTGAATGAGGCTGAGGGACTGTGCCCCCCCCGGGACTGGGGCCTATAAGATAAAGAGAGAGACGAAAGCACAGATTTGTAGACAACCCTTTATGCATGGCTCTGAAATCTGTGTGTGTGTCATTGAAGGATCGTGTTTCCTTTTTGTGCGTCAAAAAGGGTGTGTGGCTAGGGGAGAGGGAGGGCATTTGATTTCAGAAAAAGCTCAGGCAAAGAGATGCAAGGGGTGGTGTAGTGGTTAAGAGCAAGGGACTGGGACTCAGGCGATCCGGGTTCGAGTCCCCATTCGGCCATGGAGCCAACTGGGTGACTTTGGGCCAGTCACAGACTCTCAGCCCAACCTACCTCACAGGGTTGTTGTTGTGAGGATAAGATGGAGGAGGAGAATGATGTAAGCTGCCTTGAGCCCTTTGTAGGATAAAGGCAGGATATAAATCAATCAATCAATCAATCAATCAATAAAAATAAGGGGTGGAGACAGCAGGAAGTGAGTCTATGTAACCAAAGAGCCAGTGAATCCAGGAGATTCCAATGCAACAGAGAAAATTGGGCCCTGTACCTTTATTGAAGGTATGCAGGTGGCGCAGTGGTTTAAACCACTGTGCTGCTGGGCTGGTTGATCGAAAGGTCGCCGGTTCGAATCTGCACAACGGGGTGAATTCCCATTGCTCCATCCCAGCTCCTGCCAACCTTGCAGTTTGAAAGCAGAAAAATGCAAGTGGATGAAAAGGTACCACTTTGGTGGGGAGGTAACAGCGTCCCGTGCACTTCGGTGTTTAGTCGTGCCGGCCACATGACCACGGAGACTGTCTGCGGACAAACGCTGGCTCCCTCGGCCAGGAAACGGAGATGAGCACCGCCCCCTAGAGTCAAGCATGACTGGACTTTAATGTCATGGGGAAACCTTTACCTTTTTTTAAACCTTTATTTCAGCAAGTGCCCATGTTCAGCAGGGAGGTGGGATGGGTGACCTTCCAGAGATCTGGGGCTCTGAATGAAAGACTTGAGGCTTCAGCTCAGGGAAGATGCTCCACCTGTGACCAGGCTAAAATAGCAGCTGTCAATATGTCAGAACCCCCCCCCCCCCCCGTTTTGTATGTACTATGTTTGAATCAGTCTTATAAAAAGACACACAGTAGATCATAGGTTCCCATTTAATATGGCATTGGAAATTCTGCTCCTTCTGTGTGGCTTCAACTGTTTGTGCACTTTTTTTAGGTATTGTGCTTGTTGCCATTAATCCCTATGAACAGTTGCCAATCTATGGACAAGATGTCATCTATGCATACAGTGGCCAAAACATGGGAGATATGGATCCCCACATCTTTGCAGTTGCAGAAGAAGCGTACAAGCAAATGGCTCGGTGAGTAGAACACCTGTTTCCATCGACACATTTAACATGCATTAAGACCAGGGCTGCAGCTACCGCGAACTAATGTGGAAATCATTCCAAGTTAAGCTGGACAACTTCGAGCAGAGTTCTGGAAATGATAATGGTTCATCACTGAATGCAGAGGTCAGCAGGCTGCATAAAATTCTGAGACACAATGTTCTTTCCCGTTTTCTGATCATTTTTCGAGTTCACATAGCTCTGTTTGAGAAAAAATAGAAACACCCATGAGCCATGTTGTCTGAAGTCCTTCTGTCTATTATGCTTATACATGAAAATTAGTTATGAGGATGGTCTTGTGAAGAGCTTGGCAATCTGAAGATGGGGCATAACTCAGCTGTAGAGCACATGTTTTGAAGCAGAAAGAGATCCAACATCTCTGGCATCTTCTTATAGGCCTGAGAAAGTTTCCTCTCTAAAACTTAGGAAGGGTCTCTTTCAAAGTAGACAGCACTGAGCAAGATGAGCTAGCGGTCTGACTTAGGATAAGCCACTTTTCTTAGCATATCCATGTTTTATGCCAAGGATGTTCAACCTCCAGAGAAGGGCAGCAAAGATGATCCAGGGACTGGAAGCAAAGCCCTGAGGAGAGCTTGAAGAAACTGGGCATATTTAACCTTGAGACAAAAGACTGAGGGGAGATAGAATAGCACCCTACAAGCACCTGAAGGGATGTCATGAAGAGGAATACCAGCATCATTTCTCAGTCATCCCAAAATGCTGGACATGGAATAATGAGCTCAAGTTACAGGAAGCCAGATTCCGGATGAACATCAGGAAGGATTTCCTGACTGTCAGAGCAATACAGCAGTGGAACCCATGACCTAGGGAGCTTGTGGGCTCTTCCACACTAGAGGCATTCAAGATGCAGCTGGACAGGGATCTGAGAGGGAGAGTTTAACTGGGAGTCCTGCAGAGGGTTGGCCGCTCTGTCCCCGTTCCAGCTGTTCTCTGAAACCTCTTTGAGCTCAAGGATCCAATTTCATTTTCCTGAAATCCCTGCGTGCCCCATTGCACTGCTAGGAGGGGCTGGAGACAAAATGGGGTAGATCCCCAGGCAAAAGGGATGGGCCCACTGCCAGTGTTTCCAGCTTAACATTCTTACTGCCTCACAAATGTTTCAGCTTCTCAGCATGGGGATGAAAAACAGTTTTCTGGAAAAAACGGGAAACAAAAACTGGGAAACCACCTCATGATTAATGATTGAGAGGAAGGGGAAGGGTCATGGTTATCCGTGAACTCATGTCTTATGATTTCTAGTAGGTTATGGGAGGCTGCTTTATAGAGCCAGAGGGAAGGGTGATCCATTTGTAAACATTCAGTGAGGTGTGCTTGCATTTGTTTCCATAGCTAAGCATAGTAGAAGCATCTTCTACATGGTTGCCTTCCCTTGCCTGGTCAGCAGGCATGGTTCTCTTGATACTTCGAGGGCCAATTCCCGTTCGTTTCACTTCTATTCCTACCGGTTATGAGTGTTTGTAGACTCTTCCTAGACTTAGATCTGGGTTGGTCTTTCCCCAGCTGGATCTTTCTGTTCACCCACATGCAATGTTTGCATTATTAATTCTTCAGTTAAAAAAAGACGAAGAAACACACACACACACACAACTATGCAAACTGAGTAACTTTCTGAAAAGGCGAGAGATTCCTGTGCATCAATTCCAGGTGTAAAATCTTGTGGGAACTGTGGTTGAAAAAGGTCGAATCCTCCTGAGACTGGATGGCAGAGTGGCTGCATTTACACTCATCCTCACCTTCAAGAGGAAAAGATATTAAGAAAAGCCTTTTTCACCCACTTTCTTTTTAAGCATTCTTGGTTAGTGGCAGGAGATGATTGTGCATCAGCACATTTCAAGAACTTTGCACTGGTGCTCTTAAATAGATGCTTTATTTCTCTCTCCTGGAAGCAAAAGCAGTTACTGTGCCTTCCTTATTGATCTTATTACTTTTTACTGCTGTTACTTCCAGTGCAACTTTATCATCATGACAACAGCACTTGAGCCAAGTTCAGGACTGCTGTGAGCCAGGGCGACTCTTCCAGCTTAATTGGGGTTTAATCCACCCACTCTTGTGCTGAAATTGGCCCGGACTACCAGCAAAACTTGCTGACGGGTGGGATGGGGATCTCCTCCGCGGTTTTGATCTTTGAAGCATATTTTTAGAATACGGTTTTGTGCCTGCATAGTTAGCGCCCTTTGCGCTCCCTGGTGGAACTGTTCCTGCAAGATAAGCAAGGTCTTTTTGTTTGACCTCGAGGCACCCAAAAGTGAGACGGGTGCAAAAATGTAGGCCTACTTCAGGAATACTGTTCTGTGGATATAATATAACTTGAGATAAATGATGCGTTTCCCCTGGATGTTTACGAGAGGGGTTGCTGTGTGAAGTGCATGCCCTCACGCTCTGTTTGCACATTGTATTCAAGCACTGTAAGTCTGTGCATTGTTTTAAAGGTCCGATTGACCAAAGGTACCCCGCACAGGCTTCCTTGGCTGCCGGTTGCTGTCCAGAACCAGTTCAAAGTGCTTACGGTAACATGCAACACCCGGAATGCCTTGGGGCAAAATATCTGAAGAATATTGCTTGTCTCCGTATGTCCCTGGTCACTGAGATCTCCATCTGAAGGCCTTCGCCATGTCCCTCCCCACAACGAAGTAACCGGGGAGATGGCAGGGAGAAGAGCCTTTTCCTCAATAGCATCCCATTGATGGAACATGCTTCCGTTGGAGATTTGCCAGGCGTCTCCTCAGCTGGTGTTTAGACAGCAGTAGAAAACATGGCTGTTTCACAGATACTATAGTGAGAAGATTGGCTGGTTTTAGAATGGTTCGTCATTCGTTCTTGTATGCTGCTACTGCCATGATAGTCGCCAGATAATTTTATTTAATTGATGGTTTTAATCAGTTGTTTAATTATTTTATTATGAATGCAAATATTGCTTTAATTGTATTGTTTTATTCTCTTGACATTGTTTTATAGAATGGTTTTAGATATTGTTAATATATCTGCTGTGAACCTTCCAGAGAGCCTCATGGCTGTTGGAGCAGGATACAAGTGTAGTAAATACATAAATACCTAAATGTCTGGAAGGAAAGAAATGCATCTCTCTGTGCCATTGGAAACAGTGTCTTTTCTCAATGATTTTCTGTTCTGAAACTGTTGCCTGTGTTTGGTCTAAGCTGAGTCTTGCTCAGAAACTTCACACTTAAGAGATCCTTGCAATCATTACATTCTTCTTGTTCTTTTTGGAAAACGACTTACAGAGGTGGGGTTTTGAAGGAGAGAAGCAGGAGAGTTTTTTTTAACCATTTCTCACCTGCAATTTCTTGATTTCAAATTAGCCCTCATGTCCCAAGGTTGTCATGATCCATGTGAGAATCCTCCAGTGATCAGGACAAAGGTCTGAAGTTCAGGCACAGAAATCATCCTCTGAAAACATCTCTTGGTCTGATGGACCAGTGAAAAGATAGTTCTCAGAGCCTGCTTGGACTCAAGAGATTCTGCTTCTGGCAGGGCAGAAGTTCCCGTTTCCCAATTCCAATGAATTAAACAATGCTCCTTTAAGCTTATATATTCAAAATGAGGATCAGAGCTGACCCACATTAATTTATTTCAGGGGTTTCCAACATTTTGGGTTCAATATTTGGAATTCCAATGTTGTATTGTTGGCACTCTCACAAAATGGCTGCCTTGTGAAGGGGCATGCCCATGGAAAAATAGCTGCTATCCTGGACACAAAATGCTCATTTCCAAGAAGGTTAGCAGGTGAGACTAAAGAAAAGGAACTTGCCCAAGAACCTAGGTCTAAACTTTTGCAGACATAAAACCACCCTTTTGATGGCACTGGAAGCACTTCCTTTTGCATCATGCCTGTTGCCTTGTTAAAATATTATTAAAAATATCTCCAGTGAGAAAATAAAAATCAGGAGGGCCCCGAGCTTGAGGGGCCCTGCCAGTTGTCCATGGACACCACAGTGGAGACTCTAGGTCCACTTAAGTTCTCGCTTGGCTCCAGACCTTCGCTGGAGCATCATCTCAAGTTGTTGGCTTTTTTATGCAACCTGAACATCTCCCTGGTCTATTTGGAGCTGTCCATGGTCCCGTTAACGTTTTTTTTCCCCCTTCAAATTCTACTTAGAACATGGTGATTCTTCTCTTCACTTCCCCCAGTCTCACCTCTTTGAAGGATTTACACGTTTGTCTTCACAAACTACATTATGATTCTTGTAGCAGATAAAGCTACTGAAATTGAGAACTGGAGCTACATCTGGGGAAAGGGTTATGCATCCCCCTCTCCCGTCATTTCTCCACTTGCAAGTGCAGTAACCAGTTTTTCTTTTAAAGACAAAACATTGGCAGGAGACTCAGTAATGTGCGCATAATGTGTTAATGGGTGTCTCCTGAAAGTGTCAGGTGCTGCTGAATTCAGCAAGGTTGGGTTTTGTTCATACTGTCCTGCCCTGCAGCACTGAGATAATTTCCTGGTTATATTTAACTGCCTCCAACTTTCTTGAGCACAGAAAGCTATCAAGTTTGCTGTCGGTAACTAAATAAAAAGAAGAAAGGATGGGGAAACAAAGCAGAAAAACCATGGCTATATATAATAATATCCAGTAAATGCTTAAGAATCAATTAGAATTTCTAGGTCTGTGCTACTGTTCCATGATATATAGTGCACAACCATTCGGGTTTCTTTATTTCCCAGGGTTGTATTTAAGAAAATATATTTCTCTGTCCCCACACCTTCTGTTTCTCAGTGTGTACCCCAAGTATTCCGGGCATTTCCCAAGTGATATGTCACTCAGGCAGGGCGCACTGGCTCGTGATCTTGCAGACCAGTTTGTGCAGCTGGGAAGTGCTAGTTGGTGAAGTTGACTTGCTCAGTCTGTGTGGTTTTCTGCAGTAAGCATGGAGCTTTGCTTGTGCTGAGGCAAAAGATTCTGCTGCAGGATGTACTGTGTTGCTTAGCCCACACA